AGGTACATTTTGTCATGTAAACTTATTTTCAAGTTTACCAAAATCTTACATTTTGCCATCTAAAACAATCAAATAAAGAGACAAATATATAAATCTAAACATAGTTATCAATATTATATATTGGTGTAAACATACATGTCAAAACACTTATACATTGTGTTCTATAATTTAAAATAATTGATATCCAACTAATGTCCAATACCTTCATAAATATTATTGAACAGTAACTTAAGGTCAAATACATGATAATTTTCGAGAAATTTGAATAGCTTTGGAATAATTTTCTTATTTATACTTGTGTTATACTTAATCACGGATTTTAATTTATTTAGTTAAGAATATCAGTATAATATATTTTGTGATATGTCTATATTTGAATTTATTTATTTTAATCTCGAAAACTTCGAATATAATGTCTTCTATTTATAACATATAATTTTAATGTGTAGAATGCAAATATGACTAACACATATAATAATTTTTATGTGTATTATTAGGAGCAGCTTAATTAAACGCTGCTCCCGCTTCTGTCTCTCCTCGGTGCCATTCCACTCGGAGGGGAGGGAGGCAATGGCATCGATGAGCCCACGGCTCATCTTCCATGGGCGGATGATCGATCCAGTTCAATCGCCCAGATTTCGTATCCGATCGCAGCAAGTCCACCCGTGGATCATGAGCCGATGTCGCAGCCAGAGTCGAACAGCTTGACGCCATCGACTTGCTCCTACAGTCCCATGCTTGTTGTGTAGCTCGCTGAGTTCGCTTTTAACAGCTGGCTGTTCTTGCTCTGGCCGTCGTCGTCTTCTTCTTGCATGCTCTGATGGACAGATGAGAGTTGGCGTTGTGTTATGGTGTCCAAAACATCTGCTTTAAGCCCTTTGCCAGTTTGCCTGCTAACTGTTTGTATGATTGTATCAGACCTAATAATTGGCTCATATTATTAGGAGTGATGCGTGGGAATCATAAAGTTGTATCGATGAGCTCCGTGGTTTGCTTTTCTACAAGGTTCGATGGATGATCATGTCACTGTACTGCAACTGGAGCACAGAGTGGCTGATAAGTTGAACAGCTAGCTCTAAGTTGCATTCGATCTTCTCAAGGAGGCTAAGTCATCAAGACAGGAAGATCTCCTTCGATGCTTAACTCAGATTAGTGAGGTAAGAAAGAAGCACTGAATCTGTATCGATCGCATACATCGAGCATTTAAGCATATCGCTACTCTTTCTTCCTTCCAAGTACATAACATGCACATATTAGATAGATGTCGAGGAATGATAGTTTCTCGATTATGTATGTTTTCCTTCTTTTTCTGTACAAATACTTACCTTTGTTTTGTCTCTACTGATTAGATCTTACATATGACATGACGGATTGTTCTAGTTTTCTATCTCCTTAGGCAAAAGAGAAACAAGAACCTGGGACCTGTAGAATTCATGCAACCTAATGTTGAATTCAGAAGATTGCTGTCTCCAATTTCATTGATCGTATATCCATTGTTCTGGTGGTGATGGGACGTGAACAATGTGACAAAATGGATTTGTGGTACATAGAAAAATATCTTTGGATGTCGGATGGAACTTGGAAGACCCAATGCAAAACGACACACTTGGTTCCGTGGTATAAGAGGTTAAAGGCAGCGTCCCAAGTTTGATTAGCCCTCCTAGCATCTGCATCACATCATCCACTGAACAACACTCACTGACTTGTCCTTCTCGGATGAGGAGATTAGGCTGCCAGGCTTTGTCATCACCTCCTGTCATAAAGTTGAAGAAAATATATTTAGGCATGCTCTTGAGGATCTAAACTAGATATTGCCTTATCTTGTCCACCTTCCTTTAACTCTAATTCCAAAGTTGTCCTTGTCTTTCTGAAATGGCTTCGAAGCTTTTGCGGCGCTTATTACAATTGTCTACCGAACAATAACTATTCATACTCCTTGGGGAACAGAGAGGAGGTTTTGCTGATTCCTGAAATGTGTTACTTTACTGCCTTTAACTTCATGTTTACACCTCCAGCTTCATTCTTACTATGTTTTCCTGACAGTGATTAGTAGTAAGGCAAGTAAGATATAGTAGGAGTGACTAACTATCAATTATTTGGCAAAATGATCCTCATGTCTTGTCCTTTTGGTGGACAGTTGGTACTAAAGGAGGATTTGGTCCCCATGGCAAATCCAGAGAGTCAACTGCTGACGCAGGGCCCTCTCTTCATTGGTGGCACTCAGGTTCTGGCTCTGTTCCTGGAAAATGCGGTGTGTTGGTGCTTGGCAAGGGACCAAGGTGCCAGATAAGGGTACAGGTCATGGGGTAATATGACCAGATAGGTGGATTGCAAGATGGGGTGTTCCCTAGAGGATCAGCCCTTGTCCCCTAGGGTTGAAACTTGAAACTGCAGTTTATGGGAGTTGGAATTTGTACATGGGTGTCTTCAGAGAGACTCAGGTTGATAGATGCAGAGAGAGAGAGAGAGAGGGTGATGGTTTTTCTTTCTTCCATTTATTTTCAGGGGTCTTGTATCATTTTTTCTAGTGTCTGGTTAACTGTGGTAATAACTTGATTTTTTTGGATCCTAATTAAAATGAGTTTAAATATCCTTTTATTGAATTGGAAAGAATACGGATAGAAATGTAAGGATTGGATCCAGATCAAATAGGATGAAATTTATGAGTAACTTATTTGTTTCTATCCCATTATTAAATAATAATGATTATGAGTTGTGTTTTTACTATGAGCTTGAGTGGTTGAGTTTTTTTGGGTTGAACTCCATCAAAAGCTTAGATTTAAATCAAAATTTCTGAGGGTTTGATGCAATCCACTGAGAATTATTAGCAAGCAATCCAATATTTAAATCAAATGCATGGATATCTCTTCCCAACTCCAGTTGGTATTATTGAACATGGAAAACTAGTTCAATGGTATACTATTTGGACAAAATATGGACAAAATACCAACATTTGATGACTGTTATGATGATGATGTTAAATTGGTCCACCACCTCAATAACAGTAACTCATACTCTTAGCTTAATATGAGACCAATAATATCATGGCTATCATTGCCACCATGCCAACATTCTCATCCTTCATCTGTGTTTGTCTTCTCTGACACCATATTTATGACAACCTGAGGTTGAAAAATTATATGGGCCAAACTGTAAAAAGGAGAAATAATTGTTTCTAAACTTAATTAAGTATCTAAACCTATCTTAAATCTGAATCAAATGATTGAAAATATTAGACTCATTATCATCATTATATTGATCATGAATTATAATCCATAAGGTACTATATATATATATATATATATATATATAGTTGTAGGTGGATAATAATAATTATATATTTGATATAGGATGTATTTCGAAATAAACCATTGGTTTTTGTTTTTCCAAAAAACATTTTTTTTATTTTTTCTCATAGAATGTCCATACCTTTTAAGTTCGAAAGAACATCAATACTTAATAATCTTTCATTCTATATATTTACAATTGATCTTTTCTTTGGTCAAGTTAATGCATTAAGAATTGGTCTAATGAATTAAATCGGACCAAATTAATGAAAAATAGAATAATCATAATATAAAAATTAAATTTAAAATTGTATATTTTTTAAAAATTAGAAAACTATTATAGAAGGCAAAAAAAAAAGTATAATTCAAGTCCATATTCTAAAAATAGTATCTAAGTGTATATAAATATTTTTAAAAATATTAGTTAAAAATGATGTATATATTGTTATAAAATATTATATTAAAATAGAAATATCTAAAGTTTATATTCATATGTATTTCATTTATTTCACAAGTTTATATTTATAATTATTTTAAAAATTATCACATAAACAATTTTAGAGCTACTTTGAATATATTTGAATCGATCTAAAATGACCAAACCAAGCCAAGAAAAAAAATAAAAATATTAAAAATGTGCTAATAAGTTCATCTTTTCATGAGTAAAAAGAGAAAAGTTAAAAAAGTTTTTCGCAAAAAAAAAAAAGCAAGAAGAAAAACCAAATCTAACCATTTTGTTGGGAAATTCATCCATATTAATTTTGGATGATTTTTCTAGAAAATACCCATACTTTGGATATTTTCTAAAAGATATCTCATCGTTTGATTTTTCTTAACAATACCCTTAATTTTAAAGTACCAAAAATACCCCTCAAAAAGTTTTTTTACTAAACTTTCTATTTGTTTTTTTTAAATCAATTTTCAACTGATTATAATGTTTTTATTTGATTCGTTTATATTACTTTTCAATAGAGTTTATAATGTTTTATTAAGTACTAAAAGTACAATAAATATCATTAAAAATATTATAAATGACATCATATCGTTCCTATTTAATTATCATTGCTCATAGATCATTATAATATTATATATTTTTATATATTTATAATATATTTTATTGATAATATATTTATTTTTATTTAGATTATTTATAATATATTGAAATAAGTCTGATAATATTTTTATTGTGATGATCAAAATATTATAACAGATCAAAGATGCTATAATAGATCAAAAAAAAATTTAAGATATGGTTTGAGTATTTTTTTTTAAAATTTAAATTATTATTAAAAATAGGTATCGATTGTGAAATACTTAAAATATAATTTTTTTTAAGAAAAATCATTCAATAATTTATATATTTAACATATGGGCAATAAATACAAAGTGCGATATCACGAGACCCGAAACGGGAAGCTTTTGAATGAATAGGTAGTGCTCACCTCGAGAAAAGTTGGAACGGAGAGCGAACAGAGTGAGCTGAGAGAGAGAGAGAGAGAGCGAGAGAGAGGGAAACAGAGCGAGAGATTGAGACAGAGGAGAGGGAGGAGAGAGAGAGAGAGAGACGGGGGGAGATCTCCCTCGTGATACCCTCTCGATTACGGCCTATACAGCATAGCGAGAGAGAGAGAGAGACGAGGAGGAGGAGAAGGCCAACAAAAAGGCACGGCGAGCACGTATAAAGTCCCAACCAAATCTCGCTTCTTACTTCTCGAGACGATTCCCTCCACCCTCTCATTTGCTTTAAGCGACTCTTTTTCTCGTGCGGCGCGCTTCTTCTTCCCTATCAACAACTCTACCGCTCCCCGCCTATATATATATTGTTCTCCGCTAAGCCTTCTGCTCGGCCGTCTCTCTTACTTGTCTTCTGAATCTGTGTTCCTCTTAGAGATAAGAGATTGGAGCTCGAAGGGATGGCGTGTGGCGAGGATAAGGAGCAGGACCCTCGCATCCAAGGAATAGCCGCTTCCATCCGCGTCGTCCCCGATTTCCCCAAGAAAGGTCCCTCCTTTTTGTCGTTCCAAGTTTTCTGCTCGCTCCTCCTGTCATGTTTTCTTTCGCCTTTCGCTTTTTCTCGATTCTTTTACTGATTCTTGAGAAAATAATATGATCTTTATGAAAAAAGATCGCCGAGCCCACCTCCCCTCGCGCGCTCGATCTCTCCCGCTGGATCCATGCTCGTCTATTTCTTCGTATGTGATTTCCTTGCTACTGTATTCATCGTAAAGATATGACTTTTGATACCAATGTTTCTTGCTCTCAGCTCCCTAACCCACAAAAGCAAGAGTTTCGATCCTTATACTTTCGTCAACCCTCCCCGCATCCTTCCTTTTTTTAGTTATCTGCTTCTTTTCTTCCGACAAGCTCAAATTTTGATGAGCAATTGCCTTTTCTTCTCCCTTTCTTAATCTTACTGCAACTGTTGCATGAACAAATCGTAGGAATTATGTTTCAAGACATCACGACGCTGCTGCTCGATCCAAAAGCGTTCAAGAACACGGTGGACTTGTTCGTGGAGCGGTACTCGGGGAAGAATATCTCCGTTGTGGCTGGTGAGTTCTTCCGTAATGACAAATGCATCCTTCTAATCTTTGATTTTTGTTACCTATATATGTGTGTGCATGTTCTCTCTATGGTGGATTGTTCGCGGCTTCATTCTTTTCTCGCATCGATGCTTATTGTGAGCGTGTCGGTTGTGGGGCCTTCATCTTTTTACCAATTACAGTATGGTAGACTTTGGAACAGAAACGTTTTCTCCGTTTCATCATTTCCATTAGAGAAATTAGGTAAGGCTTGTTGTTTCCTTGGGTACCTTTTTGCAGTGGGTAGGGGCTCATTCTTTGACTGCATTGCCTTCTCAGTGGCCATGTTATCATGGACTATTTAAGTCGCGGTCTACCATGAGTGTCTCTATTTCCAAGTCCTCGCCTTGACGACAACATTGGTCCAATCTCTGATGTAATTTTGTGAAACAATGGCTATTGTTTGAACTTTGACGGGCCTATACATTCTGTTTCTCTGTTCTGTATGTGCTTTTCCTTTACTGTTTTGATTTGGTTTATATGGCTATGATTGCAGAAATGAACAGAATTTATTGTCTCCTTGATGCATTTGGAGTATATTGGTTTGAAACGACCTTGAAATCTTGTTTTTTTGTTTCTGAATTTATTTCATATTGGTCTGCAGTTTCAGGACATGGAGATTTAACATGAGCTCCATTGTATGATGAAATTTTGATGAGGTTTTATATGTTCATCTGTTCATGATTGTTAGTGAGCTGTTATGCTTTTACCTTTCATGAAACTGATAAATGAAACATATTAAGATTTCTGTACACATCAGAGAACAACAATGATAAAGTTTCTACCAGGCCCCTATTATTTGGGATTGATTTTGTAGTTAATTTCCTTCAGTGAGCCCTATTTGAGTTCAATACAATTAGAGCAATTTAATACCTTTTATTATTTCAAATATATCTATTAGTTTTTCCTCTATTAGTTAAATATATCTAATGATAGATATTTTCCTTTTATTGTTTCATTGTGTGCACTGCTAATCTGATAACCTCATTTAATCCCACTAGTGTGATTCATGCTTTCTTAAGCATATTTAATGTTTTAATTGATCGACTATTATAAATATCAAAGTTAACAGATAAATTACAAAACGTATTGCTAGTTCTTTAATGTATTGTACATTCATGTCTTGATGTTACAAAATATCTATGAAATTTTGACAATCGATCTTTTTTCTTGTGCAAATATATAATGTTATGACCAAGGATTGCCATTTTGGGTACCTGACTTGTTTTGACAATTTGATGGAATGGTACATACTGGTCTATACCGGTGCGTCTAGAGATTCGGCAAGGAAAAAAAAGAGGAAGGAGAGGAAAGGGTGGTGGAGGAACATAGGAGGAAGGAGGAAAGAAGAGGGAAGAAGAGGAAGAATAAGAAGAAAGGAGAGGAGGAAAAGATTAGTGGTAGCGTACCTGGGAAGCAGCAGTGGTGAGGCAACAGTATTGTTGAAGTGGCAGCGGCAATGGTGATGATGAGGCGGTGGCATCTTTTGTGTGAGGAAGGCTCGTGTTTGTGATAACGAGGTGATGACATCTTATGTGATGGCGAAGTCGCAACGACAAAGCAGCCGCATCTTATGCGATAAGAGAGCTCATGTTCGCAACCCTAATTTTTTTTTTTTTTCTTTTTAACACTGATTTGGACAGGGGCCCCATCATTTTTTTGAAATTTTAATTAATTTAATAGGACCATTTGAAAGGAGGTGGTCTGTGTATCGACCCTCGCCCGGACTAGTATGTACCTCCCGTACCATACTGTTTTTGGGCGGTATAGCAAATGTTGATTATGACATGATCAGGTCACACTGGTGGAACTGCTTTTGTCAGGTTTGGTCATCTAATAGAAAATAGCTTATAAATGACTGGATATGACTGGCTTGAATTTTATGTTCTGTGCACTTTTGAACATGATATGTAACTTTATGTGGTTAAGGCCATGCATGGGCGTAACTTTATGTGGTTAAGACTGGCTTGAATTTGGTGTTTTATGCACTTTTGAAGAAGATATGAAACTTTGTGGCCGAGACCATGGGCGTCCATATCATGATGGCCGGTGGTATTTGTCCATGGACGAATTGGTATAGGTCATACTGTTTCGGATGGTATGTTAAGCACTGGTTAAGATTTCATTTAATGTGTTAACCACTGATGCAGGTAAATAAAAGTAAAAATAATTTGGCTGGGTAGGACTTTTATATAATAACTTGTTCAATTGTATTAGTATCAAAGTATGTATGTATACCCTTTCTTATGTGTTACACAGCAGCAAGTTACATAATAACTTGTTCAATTGTATTACTACCGAAATTGCCATTAATTTTTGTGTGAACTTTTAACAGTGTTAAAAGATTTTCTAATTTGCTATATATTTATATCTTGATTTACCTATTTTTGACCTCTTTGATCTATGCCTTTGGTCTTTGTCTTGTACATTGTGGGGTCTTTTGCTTGTTTAATGATAGATTTGCTTCAACGGAAGATTGCAAAGGGTGACTTTTAGATTTAATCATTGTTGACTTAACATCTAATTGCTTTTCCTTTACTATATTTTTTGTTTTATTTTTTTAAGCATTCTGTTGGATTTTGATACAAGCTATTTGATTTTTCATTGTATGTAGGACATCTGATTGGTAAATTTTACACTTTTCTGGTGACATTGTGATGGAAGGTTTTCTCCATTTTGACAGGAATTGAAGCCAGAGGCTTTATTTTTGGTCCACCAATTGCTTTAGCGATTGGAGCAAAATTTGTTCCTTTGAGAAAGCCAAGAAAATTACCAGGTACTTCATTCTCTCAATTAATCAAACATATTTTACCATCAGTTTTGACAAGTGAAATACATGTGAAGTGTTCGCTAAACAAAATCCATCTGTTTGAATTCATTTTTGCTTACAAATTTGGTAATAATGTGTTAAAATAACATATTTTGAACAGAAAAAAAAGTAAATCTCAATGCCATTTCTTGGAATTAGAAAATGATGATAGTTAAACAAAATTGAAGATGTATTAAATGGAAAAGAGATTTTAATATTATTTAGTGTTAATGTTCTGTATTTATTTTTTTTTTGGAGTGATAAAATTTGATTGTTGTATAAGGACACCAATGTTTGATGGAATGTCTTTTGTGCCATTCATAAACTATTAATAAGAACTAATGTATTAGATAATGAGTTATATAGCATCCTGTGCACAAAAAAAGATAAAAAGCTCAATGGTATTTCTTGGAAGTAGAAAAAGAGAATGGTGAAATCAAATGCAAGATCCGATGGGTATGAGATTTTGGGAATAGTTAGTTCTAATGATCTGTGTTTCTTTTGTTTCTTTTTGTGGGATTTCAAATTTGATTGTTGAATTCATACACCAGTATCTGACAGAAAGGTTTTCTTGCCATTATAAAACTAAATCCAAACTAGTTCAATAATTTGCCCCAGATGGGACCATGACACAGATAAGGTATGCAACTGCACTTATCTTGGTATGGGAGCAGCTAGATCATTCATACATGTTCACATTTTCGCTATTTTTTTATTTAGGCATTGTTAATTTATAACATTCTTACAAAATCAAATTTATGACATCCTCCTTTCTTGGAAATGGATTACATGGCAGAAATAAACTTCTCAAGTTTTTTTTAAAATTTATAATTTATGTCCATCAGGTAATGGATTGAATTTATCCCAAGCTCTTATATGGTTTGGCTCAGTTTCTCCATATGAAAATGCGTAGGTGAAGTCATTTCGGAAAAGTATGTTCTGGAATATGGAACTGACTGCCTTGAAATGCATGTCGGGGCAATCCAACCTTGTGATCGTGCTTTGGTTGTTGATGATTTGGTAGCAACTGGAGGAACCCTTCGTGCTGCTATGAATTTACTTGGTTTGTACAATGAGAATTATACAGTTTTTATTACTTATGTCCTATCTACATATTTAACCTTGTCATTCAGTATAATTCTGGTTTTCATTTTATGCAGCCATAAATACGATCGCACTTCGGTTTTATGCAATATGTTTGCAGTATTTTCACATTTTGATTTTACATCAAAATGATGCTGATCTGATCATATTTCTAACCAACATTTAGATTCTCGTAATAATCTAATTAAGAGGACTATTTGTAGGATGTCTGAATCTTGTAATTTCCTTGATCAGCCTTAGAAAAATTAGCACATATATAAATAATTCTTGTCCCATCTATCTGTTTCAGCTTTTAGATGGATTGACAGAGGTAAAGATTTGATGACAAGTAGACTACAAATGATAAAAACAATGAGAATGCTATATCTTTTTAAACAAATAGATAAACTTGGTAGAAAAATTTATTTGCAGTCTTGCAAATAAATTTGGAGTTCTTTTGGCAGATGGTGCCTAAGATACAATATTTCTATCCGTAAGATATTCATAATCCACAATAGTTGGATATCTGTTCCTTGTGGTTTTTTGTGGCAAATATTTCCTAACTAGCATTTAGTGGTCTTACCCTCTTTAGGCCAGTTTATTAATTGTACCAAGATCCAATTTGCAGATGATGCTAGCAAAGGTAAAATTGTGTGTCGAATAATGCTTAGCCTTTTGCATTTTTCTGTTGCAGCGTCTGGTACAAAAGATAAACAATGCATTTACCCTGAATTTTCGTAAGAAGTAGTGATATTTGTCGGTGCCGAACACTTGTTCATTTTCGTATCGGTATTGCTTCTTTTACCATACTTGGGTTTTCTTTTTATTGTTGTTGATTCCTTTCTTCTTAACCTTAGAGCGGGCTGGGGCTGAGGTGGTCGAATGTGCATGCGTTATTGAACTGCCAGAATTGAAGGTGCGTGTGACATGTTATTGCTTTTCAACATGGCCATGCTTTTAAATATCGGTACCTGCTTCAAGTTTTTAGTTCTTGTTTGTTCCTCCCAATTGTTTTTACCGTTGAATTCCATTTTAGTCTGTTGATCTTTTTAATTACTTTTTTTTTGCTGCAATCCTAGAGAAAAACATTGCAAGGGCATGCTGGTTTTACCCTGATATCATATTATTGCCGCACATAACAGTGTTTTGACTTGCTTTTTTACAATTTATGGTAGAATTTTCTTTCTTTTCAAAAAAAGAAGAAAATTCAAGAACTATTTTTGGATGCTTTTATGTTGAATTAACCAATCTATTTATAAGTAGATACAACTACAGATAAGCTTAGTGGAAATAAACCATGTTAGGATCTATAGATGTATTTCTGCAAATTCCCTTCTCTGAGATTTCTGATATACTAAATGAGATTGTAATCGCATCGAACTGAAGTAGCTTTGTAGATGAACTGAGTTCTTACCTAGCATTGGATTGACCGTGGAATGTGTGACATCTATGTGCAGGGCCGGGAAAGGTTGAATGGCAAACCCCTCTACGTACTGATGGAGTCCAGATGATGGTGATCTTCTTGGTTGATGCCTCCGGTGCTGCTTCTCTGTTCTTCCCAATATGTAGTCATGAGAGAACCATTTGTTGTTCCACAAATGTTATCTCTTTCTTCTGTGCTGCATTGCCATCAATGGGAACTACAAAATGGCAACTACATCAAGCTTTTCTGTTTCCTATTCTTACATATGCTATTGACCAGAAAACACAGCAGTCTGTAATTAGCAGCTTGAATTCTCAGTTTTTGATTGATACTTCACTGTTGTGATGACTGTACATGCACATAATGTGTTTGCATTAATGATTTCAAGAACAGGAGGTAGGAATGGATGAAGTCTGCATCTATCCCCCATGGCTGCAGAGCAGTGCAACAACGAAGCATCGCTGACTTTAAACATCGGCACGCAAACCTCCAAAGCGTTTCGCCGTCTCATCTTCTCCCAGGCCGTCACCCTATCCACTTGCCGAGCATGCGCTTCTCCACTTCCACAACCATACAAGCCCCCTCAACGACCGGCCTTCAAGCATGGCCTTCCCCTGACGCCCCATCACATATAAATAGAACCCCAGCGGTGCCATGAGCTAGCAACACTCTCCACGCTCCGCTCCCCCCCGCGAAGCCATGGCCTCCAAGCTCTCGGTGTCGGTTGCCCTCCTCCTCACCCTCAACCTTCTCTTCTCCCACCTCGCCACGGCCGCCAGCAACGGCAAGCCACCGGAGCATCGGCCTCGACCTCTGCCGCGCCACCAGCTGACGGTGCCGCAGGAGCAGAACCTACCGTCGCTGACGGGGGCCAAGTGCCCGAGGGATGCGCTGAAGCTCGGCATCTGCGCCAACGTCCTCCGCGGCTTGCTCAACGTGACGCTGGGCACGCCGCCCAAGCAGCCCTGCTGCTCGCTGCTGGAGGGTCTCGTCGACCTCGAGGCCGCCGTGTGCCTGTGCACCGCCCTCAAGGGCAACGTTCTGGGGCTCAAGCTCAACATCCCCGTCAGCCTCAGTTTGCTCATCAACTACTGCGGCAAGAAGGTCCCCAAAGGCTTCCTCTGCTATTAGAGAAGACCTTTGGGTGGTGCGCCGGCGCCATCTGCAGCATAACACTGGTCATGGAGGAGGAGAAAGCGAAGTGAAGCATGTCATGAACGTTTCATGTTCGTACAATAACATAGCACAATAAATCGGACTTCAAATACATGAACAACACTTGCAGTCTCAAAACAATCATCCAAGCAAATGATACAGTCAAACAAGGTTGAAGACAAACAAATTCTGAACACACAATCTTTTGAACAAGAAAAAGGTTGCAATGTCAATGAACACGAGTAGATGTTTGTGATCTCATGAAGCTTCATGGGATTTGCTCACAAACAAGAAGAGAACCAATGAAAAGCTCACAATGACAATGAACATGAAGTCAGCGTAATATTGCATCAAAAATAATCTTTCCCAATGAGCATAATAATAATCTCAATAAAGATTTATGTGTTATATATATATAATGTATTTATTCCATTTAGACCGTGCACGGTCTCCGGTCCAAGTAAATTGGACCGGAAGCCCTTATAAAACCACAGAGAGGGGTAGTCGAGGGAGAGCCACTGGCAGAGGATAGCGGAGTCGTGTCAGGGTCCATAGAGCGAAGCATCTAAGGATGATGGCCGCAGCGGCGTCCCTCGCCCCTGCCGCCTCGTCCTCCCTCCTCCGCCGCCCCCGATCGGCCGCCCGCCTCCTCCTCCTGCGCCGCCCGGGAAACCCTATCGCGGCCGCCGCCAATTCAAGAACCATCCGACCCAATTATCCGCCCCCTCCGCCGCAGCCCTTCGGCCGCCCTCCCGCTGTCGATCCTCCCGCCGACGTTCTTGGCTCCAGATGGAGGCGATTCTGTAGCGCGGCGGTCTCAGCCGACGCTGAGGCCTGCGAGAAGGTTGCCACGACGGAGGCTGGGGAGAAGGTCCGTGAGTTCCGGAAGCGCCTGAGGATCGCCGACGTGAAGGGCGGACCCGACGAGGGGATGGACCGGCTGGGGGAGGTGCTGGTGGTCAGGGGCTGGATCCGGACTTGTCGGGTTCAGAGCACGGTGACGTTCATTGAGGTGAATACTCCATTAGGCTTTTTGGTTTGAGAGAGTTGTTTCTCGAAGTTATCCTCTTTGGACCCGAAGAACACCATTAGAAATATTTGTTCGAGCTACTAGAAAAAGTGGAACCTCTTTTCTGCCACTCTCTTATGGAGTACCTGCCTATTCGGTGACTTCATATGTCCTTGCATAGCCATCTTAATCAAGCAACCATTGTCATGGTATAACATGAGCCAGACATCAACAATCTTGCATCATCTTCGGGTGCCCGGTCAATGTCTTGATGTTTGATTTGTTAAGCAGTCTTTTCCACATATATAACATTGTTATCAAATGTAAACTAATTCTGGTATGGATGCATGATCCGATAATACCTAGTGGGAATGCATGATGCTGTTTGTCTCCTTGTGACTCAATGGTCCAAGTATTAATTCGTTTTACCTTAATTGCAGATAAATGATGGTTCCTGTTTATCCAACATGCAATGTGTGATGAGTTCTGACGCTGAAGGCTACGATCTGGTATATTTTCTTCTAATTTAATATTTCCTGGTTTATGTAATTAGAATTTCTCAAGTATGTCAGATGGTGACTTTTAATGGAGGCACTTTCTTATAGTGATTCACTATTCTCTTGATACTTATTTTAGAGAGAAATTAGAAATATTTAACAAAGTTGAATGTCATACCATCATTCTAGTAAATAATATCATTGTAAAGGCAATACAAAATCCTGATCATTGCAATCAATTGCCATGTCAAAATTTTGACTGTAGATGAATTTCTCAGGTGCACTATATTTTTCAATTTTTAGTTTCCGAGTCACCATTTTATTTGCCCTGCATTAGTCCCTTATGATCTGGGATGTGCTTTTCTGGATAATTAATAGGGGGAGAGTGTCTTCCCCTGTGATTTTTGTTAATTATTATTTATTAAGACCATCTGAAAAAATGTAAACTTGGCCCTGCTAAAAAAAATGAAACTTAAGACCTTGTCATTGTGTCTTTAGAGACTAGGAATACTTGTGTTGCCTTTGTACTTATACCTTGACATATGTCATGGCTAAACGACTCCTGGAAGTAACTGTCTTCAAGCTGACTAGATGGAACAATTTATTCCAAACATTTATCTTGCAGTTCTGAAATTACATTGTTCAGTAATTTTGAAGGTGCACTGCTTGCTAGATGTTTTATTCTTCTTCTTTTGACTATAAATTGGAAAAGTTGTATATTTCTGGTTTTGTTGTCAGGTGGAATCAGGTTTTATCACAACTGGGACTTCTGTACTAATAGAAGGCACTGTAGTTAGCAGTCAAGGATCCAAGCAAAAGGTGGAGCTAAAGGTGGCAAGACTTATCTTGGTAAGTGAACCTTTGTTAAAGCTTTCTTTTGTGAAATATTAAAATAATAGTAGCTAAAGCAAAGACTTGTAATTAAAATTCTTGTAATTGTAGCACTGGATTTTCTCATTTAAAAATTTTGGCCAGGCATATCAAACTTGTACAGTCAGTTATTTTCAAGCAAAAGCAAACGTAAAAATAAGAGGAAAGAGGGAGTGAAGTTGTACTTCTCGAAGCATATAAAAGATTGTACAAATTCAGTGGTACAAATGACTCCATGTTAAAGAACAACAAAAAGTAAACTGGTATTTGCTAGCCTAGTAAGACCTTTTTTAGTGGGTATCCAGGTTAATTTGTGGAACTTATCATTCCTTTCTGGGTGTTTTTTTTTTATTATAGAAGGATTTATTTTTAGAAAACTTCTTCTCATGTGGTAAAATATCCTGAGGTAGCCTTAGGGTCGAAGTATAGGAAGATTTATTTTTAGAAAGATTTCTACTGACACATGTCCATGAGGGTTAGAATACCTTCTGCCATGTATGTCTCAGCATGTATACTGAGATTTACTGTCAGCATCTTAAACAAGCATAAAATGTTATGCATGATAGTATGTTCTATCCCTGGATCAAATTTATGATGTATAGGTGTGGTACCTTAAACCTGGAATTGCAAACAGAATTTTCATGCTTAAGTTTCTCTATTTCGTTGACTTCATTTGCATTTCTCTTGTTTCCTTCTTGGCACAGATAGGGAAAAGTGATCCATCAGCTTATCCTATCCAAAAAAAGAGAGCAACTAGAGAATTTTTGAGAGCCATAGCTCATCTCCGTCCCCGAACAAATACATTTGGTGCAGTATGGACGTGCTTCTTTCTTTTTTATTATATTTCAACAGTTTTATCACTTGCATATGGGCACATCATAATGATGTTTTAAGTGTAATATTATATTAGTTTTTGTTATTTATGTAATTATGGTACTATCTTATTCTATAGGAATCTTATCTTAATGCTTCAACAAGGGGGCTAATTACATATTACCCTTGTAGTTAGCTACCTTTAACATCCTGGTCTTTACACTTTAAAAAGTTACATTGACATCTTTATAGTTACGAAAGTGAAACATGTAGGTCCATTTACCAACAAAAACAAAGAGCAAAAAGATAAATTTAACTTTCTAGTTGGAGGTGGTGAATGACGGCGTTGTTGTTGGGGGACCGTGGGTGGTTATTGTGGATGAGGAGAGCAGCAGCGAGAGATGAGGGTCGTTCTACATGCGTCGACGCCGATGCAATTGCCAAGTGGCAAAAGGTTCGTGGACAAGGTGGCGGTTCTCCCTAAGGCCATCTGCGGCCACCTGCAATTGATCCAGGAGCTACGCATGGAGCTAAAGGAAGAGAGGAGCGCGGCGGTGTCAACTGCGACAGAGGCCATGTCAATGATCCTCCGGCTCCAGCGCGAGAAGGCTGAGGTCTAGATGGAGGTGCACTAGTTCAAGCGCTTCGACGAGGAGAAGATGGTGCATGACCAGCAAGAGATCGCCGCCCTCGAGGACCTCCTTTTGAAGGATGACGAGATCATTCTCTCTGTCTCCTACAATGTCAAAACCTACTGCCACCGCCTCTTCAGCTCCGACATTAGTGTTTCTAATGCCCCTGCATCTGAGCCAGAGTCTCCAGATGAGGCCACCACTACCGATGCTCAATTCGACTTCTCATGCCTGCCACCACTGCACGATCAGCAAGAGATGTTGGCGATCTCTTGTTAGTCGTGTAGTGGTGGTTGACATGAGAAGTCGAATTGGGCGTCGACAATGGTGGCCTCATCTGGAGACTCTGGTTCGGATGCAAGGGCATTAGAAACACCAATGTCGGAGCTGAAGAGGCGGTGGCAATAGGTTTTGACCTTGTAGGAGAGGGAGAGAATGTTCTCATCATACTTCAGGCGGAGGTCCTTGAAGGCAATGATCTCTTGCTGGTTGTGTGTCGTCTTCTCCTTAGCGAAGCGCTTGAACTGGCACGCCTCCATCTAGACCTCAGCTTTCTTGTGTTGAAGCCAGAGGATCATCGACATGGCCTCCGTCGCGGCTGACGCCGCCGTGCTCCTCTCCTCTTCCAGCTCCATATGTATCTCCTGGATCAGCTGTAGACGGCCTTGGGGAGAGTTGTTGCCTCGTCCACGATCCTTTTGTCGCTCGGTAATTGTGTCAGCGTCAACGCATGCAAAGAGGCCTTCACCTCTTGCCGCCGCTCTTCTCATCCACCTGTGGTGCCGTCGTCCGTCACCACCAACTGAAACTTTAAAATTACCTTTCTGCCCTTTGTTTCAGTGTTTTAGTTGGTAAAACTGTCGACATTAGGGTAAATGGGCTTAGATGTTTCACTTCTTTAATTATAGGGATGCTACTGTAATTTTTTAAAGTGTAGGAACCGGGATGCTAAAGATACCTAACTACAGGGGGTAATCCGTAATTAGCCCTCAATAAGGCTATTTAGAAATTTAATTTCTTACATTCGAAGCGATCTTCTTTGGTGGATGAAGAGTCATTTCCATGCAATTCATTTAAGAGTTGTTCCAACTTCCAAATATATGTCATATGATCCTTAAGGATCTTTGAAGTTGTATAAAGAAGTTCTTGCCAATGACCAAGAAAACTTATAGAAGTTGTAAAGAAATTCTTATATAATAACTTTATACAAACTCAAGATGGACTACCCTATCTAAATATAGAAAACTGTAGAAATTTACCCTGAGAAGGACTTGT